TGCTTTAACAAGTATTGTAAAGTGTTTTTACTGTATTAGCAAGTATTGTAAATTGTTTGTTGTACAATAAAGTTAATTGTACTACAATTCGGTCATCCTTAGCATTTATTTAACAATCCAGCGATACGAGCCCGAGTATATTTGGGTAATCCCTCAAGGTTTCGAGGATAATCGTAACAATACATATGAGTACATTTGAATTTTAAAATTAACTAACAAAGTAATATCTAAGTACGTTTTAATCATCATTAGCGGTAATATTCCCTAAGTTGGGCAAAAAATGTTTGCTACCAATGCTTGCTTGCCTACGCTTTGTTATTGTTTATGATTTTCTGGCGGGCTACTGCGGTGCTTGTGGCTTTGTTCGAGCTTATTATTATTTTAGTTTTAGTTAAGGCTAGCGACTCAATGCAGCCCGCAAATCGTAATGAGCGTAATAATGACCTTAACCACAACAGCCACAATAACAAAAATAAGATTGGCAAGAATAAGCTATGAGTATTAGCTAGAGTAGTAACAGCAACGATTTAAATGCACAATATATCCTCGCCTTATTAGTTAAATCTTTCTAGGTATGTATGAATGTATGTACATATGTACAAACTGTTGATGCTACGCAAGCGACACAAGCAAAAAAAACAGTCTTGATATTGTTTTTTTTCAGTTGAAGATGGTAGGGATGAAGAACTGTGAACTGTTGTGATTTTTTGATGTAGAGTGCGATATATTGCGATATATTGCTTTTTGCCTGCCGGTGCGTATGGGTAATTTTATAATATTTTACACTCTGTAACTCATTCATTTGCGCGCTTCGTATATGACTATAGATGCCTATGCACATACCAACATTTCCACTCAGCAGAATAGGATCAACATGGTTTCCAAATTTTAACGGTTTGATGCTTCTACTATGCAGTTCATTTCGCAAACAAACGACACCAAAAACAAAGTAATATGCAAAGTAAAATTTAATCCTTCTCCAGAATAGGTTCAGTGCAAAAATTTTTACAATATGTAGGTAAGTTTCGAAATCAAGTGTTATATTTCTCAACTAATCACTTATTTTAAACCTAATTATTAGCAAAATTAATCGAAGGAAATCTTTTAATCCAGAGTTTTAAAGCGGCAATTGCAATTCTTTTAAACGAAGGCTTAATTGCAAAAAAAATCATGAGAGAAAGTGTCAAAGTCAATTTCATATCTGTTTGCATGTAGATGAAAGACACAATCAAACAATTCCAAAAGGGGTGCATCCATGCATCCGTATCTGCTAGTTCGCATTCAGTTGCAGTTGTTCCCGCAACAGTGAATAAGAATATGCGAAGGGAAAGATATAATTTCAAAGAAAAAAACACAAGAAAGCATTAAGTGGGAAACAATACTAAGTACTATACAATGTCTTTTATTTTGAATGGAGAAAATTGTTTGACTATTTAAGTTACTGCTTTCAGGATCATTTCTTTGCCGACATCATACATTTTAAGGAGTTCGTTCAATGTAATTTTTAGAACAATAGAAACGACCATGTTGCCACAAAGAAATAATATTGGACTTCTAACTGTAGTAAGTAGTCCTTAATAATAATAATAATATTTTCGCAGTTAGACTTTGGGTATGCCGAGCTTTTCCTTCAATTCGGGGTCTAAATCTGGGTGTTGTTACCCCATTTACGCCGCCTCCGAACGACAAATGGATTTATGAGAAGCTTTTTTTATGGCTGAAGGTTGCCATTGAATGCCGAGGCGAGCAGTTTAAATAGAAAATTGTTTATAAAATTGTTGGGATGTTACTTTGACCAGGATCAAGGAGAGTTCCATAATACAGCGGCATGCTGGCATGACAATCTGGTAGACAAAATAAAACCCCGAAATAGTTTTATTTCTGATATTAAGACCACATAGTCACTAATATCCTTACACCAATGAAAATTCATTTAAAATAAAATTTTAAGAGGAAGTTTAGTCAATAAAACCAATGGCACTGTTCTTCATTTAAATTCCTTTTTAATCAGAAATTGATTGTTTTAAAGGTTATCAGTTTGTCAGAATAAATATATTTTTTTAATTTTTGTATGTATGTTACCTCATAACATTGGACCACGTTAACCGATATCGATAATTCTATTGGAAAGGTATGTAGTGTCCCCGAGATGCGTCCATACTAACATGGTTTGGATGCGATCATTACATCATGAAGAAATTAACGGCACTCCTAAATTTTTATATGAGAATTGAAGTCGGTTGTGTTTTTTGCTTAAAAATTATTGGTTCTTATTCAATTTGAAAATATGTCAAAATGAAACCAAGGTGGTTTTGATTGGTAAAAATTTTAAAATCACATTGAACCTATTCTGCTGAAAGGGATTATATGTATGCTGTTTGTTGAGGTTAATTAATGCCTTGTAAGCGCATTTCATTTACGCTTGCATTTTCGTAGCTTTTATAGGCCAAAAACAGCTATCAACGGATCATCAGCAAAGCAGCCAAAAGTAAACAATGCTGCCATGGAAATTGCGTAACTCGAATTTTAAGTGTAATTAGTTCGTTTATTAGTGGCAGCTTCATACGCGCACATGGTGGGAGCTATTGTTTTAATTATCTACTTTTAAATGTGTGCAAATGCGTGGTTTTGTGGTGTGCCATAAATTGTGACACAAAATGCAGGCATTCCCATAAGTCCGTGTAAAACACGAACCAAGGCCCACGCGAAATTTGATAGCATTCGTTTGGTAAAGGGTGCCATATGCAGCAGTTCCATCAATTCAACTAAATGCGTGAATGCCTCGTAACAACGTAAACTTACTAAATTTTGTATGGTTTATTTACGAGATTCACTTGGTTACGAGGCATATACGCGTTTTGATGAAGACCCATATTATGTTTTATAGCAAAAGCTTTTATGTGTATAGGAAGGTGAAGTCTTAAAATAAACTTTTTAATTTTCATTGTTTGTACATCCTTTAAACTGTACAGTTTATAGTATGTAAGTACAATGTGGTTAGTCTAGCGGGGCATCAAAATATAGCAAAGCAAATGCCATCAATAATACATATAAGAGAACTGTCAGTCATAACCAGGAATTAGTGCATACGTGGAGCGCATTTATATGATTACCGGCTTCAAAGGATACTTTTAAATATTATCATCCCAGTAGGGGTTTCAAAGATGATACACATGTACATAAATAAATATGCGCATGCAAGAGTGTCCACGAACTTCGTCCCATTTATAGCCCTTGACATGACAGGCAGCTTGAGAAACCACTTTTATCCTAGCGGGTTCCAACCAAGGTTGTTGCGAATATTCCCATTCGCATTCGCAACCGCGGAGCTTCCACACTAATTTTACATTCGCATTCGCATTCGCAATAATCAATGCGGAGCTTTTGCGAATGCGAATGTTGTGCAAGTGCACCGATAAAACGCATATCTGGCAAACAAAATCACAGATTGTAGCCATTAGTTTTTGCCTGCGGTCGTGTTACCCGGGCGCCGCACATGGGAGTATTTGTGTAACAAAACTGGTCAAATGTAATGTATATCAACTTTGATAAAAGTGTTTCAAAACATATTATTTCTTCGTCATAGACTTTCCCACTTCTACTTGACCTTTGACCTCCGTCAAAGAGAACATTGTCCTTTTAATAATTTTTTTTTATTATTTTCTATACTTTAAATACCTCCACTGGTTTCTTTCTTTATTATGATTTTTCTGGACCAATCTTAAAAAAGCTACTAGACATAAAAGAAGAAAGTGTGCATTGTAATTTTAAACCAAATTTTCGTGATTTGCTTTTGATGTTACATATATTTGTTTCAACCACTTCAAATGGGACTCTTTGGGGAATTTATTTTTAGCAAACATTTTAAAAACAGCAATTTTGTTTACTCGTCGGGCAATACTTTTTCATAGGGATATACATTGAATCATTGGCTAAAAACTTCTGTTGTAAAACTCTCACCTAAGTCTTCGTTCTTTGCAATTTATAGTGAAAGAGTAAGCTCCTTCAATAGGGATTTCCAGAAGAAATAGTCAACGTTTGGCTACAGAGAGAATCGATGCTTAAATAATTAAAAAGCTACAGGTCTGACGTTGAATTAGGTAAGAATTACGTAACTATCTGAGACCCTCATCATCCGTGATTCCAATAATACAAATGCTTATAAAAACAATAACAATATTATGATCAAATTCGGCTGGCAGCAAAACAGAATTTTGTTCAAAATTTTCATTCATTCTACTTCCAGCTCTCCTTAAAGGTAAAATTAGTAAGGTAAAACAAAATACGCGCTATCGCGCTATCAGAAAAAAGATTTTCTTTTAATTAATTTTTGAATTCTTTAACATAGATCCAAGACATAGACCCGCCACCTTGGACTGGTTCGGTTTAATGCAAAAATAATTGGTATCGATAACTTCATTTTATTAAACTGATTTGTTTCTCAAAATTATATGAAGTCCAGCTTACCTGTTATACCTTCTTCCTTCAGAAATATGTACATACATAACAAAGACCACCATTGATTGGTTTGATAAAGTTTCATAGCGAATTTGTGAATACGCACATATTTTCTCAATATTAAATCAAAACAATTGCATGATTGTCCATTTAGGAATTCTTCATTAATTTTCAACGAGGGAAATTACCATCATTAACACATAGTGAACACACTACTTAAAATAAGTAGCAGAAAGCGCGCCAACGCTAATTGTCTGTACGCGCGAAAGCGAAACGAAAAACCAAAAATTTTAAAGCTGTTGTATTTAACGAGAATATGTAAAAGCAAAAGAAAAACCCAGGTAGTCAAAAGAAACTCGTAAAATAATTTCTAGTTAATGTACATTCGTAATTTAAGATCTATCTGCTCCTTAGCACTTCACCGCTGCAACTGAGTAATAGTTATTAAAAACCAAGGTGCTTAAGTGAAAAAATAGCGTAAAAAATGGCTGAGGTTAGACGAAAGAAAATGAAATAAGTTATATGTAGTACGAAAAACTTACCAACTCCGCCAAGAACAGTGCTTGGCTCCAATTTGGCTTTCTTTGTGGCTAAATCCTGATTATTATTGTCGGAAGCGGGCGCCATAACTGCAGCTTGACTTAAAAGTTCGTCGCTTCCTCGCTGCACAGTTAAAAGTCATTGTAATGGGAATTGTTGTTGCCATTGTCGTTGGTGTAGTTTGTTGCAAAGTAACAGTAGCAGGAGCACGAGCACGGAAAATAGAATAAAACATAGAAAACGAGAGAGCGCAATAAGTATTTGTGTAACACGAATAAAAGTGAAAAACAGCATAAGGCTGCCGTTTCGATAAGAGCGATTTCACTTCGCACGACATCGCTTTGACATTGAAATGCTTAAATTTGGTATGTTGTGCTTTCGGCTAGCCACTTAGCCAATGTACGCAGATACATTGTAGGCGAAGTCGGGCAATTAAAATTCGCTCTTACCGAAATCGGGGCCTAAGAATAAAATATATGTATGTATGTATATATATATATATATATTTGTTTATATATTTATGTATGAACGTAAGTAAATATTTAATATTTGTTTGTAGTAAATAAATTACGCAGATGTTTTTATTTCAAGCTAAGTAAGTAAGTGAATAGGAGATTAAAATTGAGTAGCGTATGTCAACAAAAGCAGGAGGAAGCAGCTCCCGCTCGCAGCATATTTGTTGACAAAGCGGACTGGACGCCAGGAATAAATAGCATAAGCACATAAATATAGCTTTAGAAGTAGCGGAAAGCGCTCTTTGCTTAAAACAAATAGGGCGGAGGAAATTACAGTTGGTCTTAGAGTAGAACAAAGTGAATCTGTAAAGTAGTGTTGTTGGCGGTGGTGGTAGGCAGCAATAAAAAAACACGACGCAGAAGAGACTCGCCTTCCTCGTTGTGTGGCAGCCGCTAAAAAAACTTAACGAACGTAGAATGTAACAAGCAAAGGGATACAGCTAGCTAATGGTCTTTGGACAGAATTGTTAATTATTGCCTTTTATCTGCCATAATAAAACCGTATTTTAAATAGGAATATAAGTTTACTATATTTGTAGATCCCGGGTTTAATATTTTTATTTTCTAATTAATAGCCAATTAATAACAAAAAATTTTCTTATTTATTTTACTGGTAAGTTTTTTAATCATCATACGAGTATAAGAAGAATTCTCCTTATTTATCACCAATTAATGCAATACCTACTTGCTTATGTATATTAGGGCGGAAATGATTCGACTTGTAATTCAATGAAAATTTGCTGAAGAAACCATGGTTCTAAAATCAATTTGGAGTTTGCCCAATTGCGTAAATAGGCTTTGAAGAATATGTGAAAATATTCACTATTGCACCCTCTGGTGGAAGTTTTAACAAAAAGCTAAGTTTAGAAATAGTTTCCTTATACCCTAATGTATATTCAGTACATATCGATGGCCCCGAGTTATGTATTTTATTTGAACAATTTATGTTATCTCAGATGTGCATATTTACCATGTATGTATTCACTATATAACTTAAATCTGAACATAAGACAAAGTAAATAAGGCTAAGTTAAGATAGTTTGTCTAACTGATGTCTGAGTTAAGTTGAAACAATGTGCTGGGCTGTGTAAGTACAAAGTTAAGCCATTTCGTTAAAACAGTTCATCGCACGAAGTTTATGATATCTAATTCTGTGATTATCCCACCCAATAGTTTACCACTCACAGTTTGAAGCCTCTGGCAAGATTTGAAGAATGAATAAACAGTAGGGTGCAATTGTTAAAGTTTGTTGAATTTTCATAATTTTTGTACGAAGTTTGAAATGTGGATTAATGTGGCGCTGGTTAGTGCCAGACTTTTATAAAAAAATATAAACATGAAATAAACAAAAGAAAGAGCCAAAACTAGTCAAAATGTCACTTGACTTAATCAGCTAATCAAAAGGTTATGTATGTACGTGTCGAATGTGAGCATATTTTTACTTCATGTATCTATACACAGTAGGAAAATGTAATGTATGGTAACCGAAAAAATAATCAGTATTGAATACATTAGAATGCTGATTACATAGTTAGCAGTAATATTAGCGAGAACGCATAAGAAATACATTATATTATTTATCACGCATGTAATGCATTACTACTTTTCCGACTGGGTATGTATCTATTTATTTGCCTTAACATGCGATAAATAAACAATCAATGAAAATCAAGTCAATAAGTAAACACAGGCATATGTATCTTTGTACGCCAGGCAAACGCGCACACACAACCTGCTAAACCTCCACAATCAAGTGCATCCGTTGCTGGCATCGCAGCGAAAGTCTGCGAATAAACAAAGAGCAAAAGCCGCAAATTGAAAAGGGTAATTTTGTGTGAAGTATGTACTTTTTCAGGTCATTTTCTACTACTACTATCGTACAATTGTGTATGTTTCTGATCGAGCTATTTATGTACATATGTATGTGTGTGCATAGTGCATGCAAACTGTGAGTCAGCTACAGTTGCTCTACTCGAATTCGTCTGGATTACATTTGTTTGTCTGCTGTCGTGGTTGTGAAGCACTTATTCATCCCCACCCGCCTGCCTGCGCCTTAAAGTGTGCTACACTGGGTGGTGTAGAATATGCAAAAAGTTAGTGTTTCATTGATTGCTATGGTATGCGAGTTAGCTTGATGGTTTGGTGGCTGACCGGTTGGTTGACTTTATGTGACAAGAAGCAATGATTGGCGAATTGCTCGTCTGTCTCTTACCTACATCGAAATCTACGAAGGAATAAGTGCAAAAAGTATGCAATTTGAGTGATAATAAAAAGGAAGGTGGAAAGTATAAAATAAAGAATTGAAAAAATTCGAAGCGAAAATAGATGAAGTGTGAAAGCGCTTGAAAGAATACTAAGGTCGCATAGTATTTGAATAATAGAAAACATTTAATGATGTGCACCCATCCAGATAATGCATTTGAGGTACATAAAAAATGGAAAAATAAAGTGAAACCAAGCGAAACGAAATTTAAGTAACTACTATCAATTAAGTACATAAGTGTTCCCTTTTTGTATGTACCTTCTAACATCCTTAAACGGATAAAAGCTAAAATTCATTTGATACATTCGCGGTGCTTGGTTGAAAACTCGCCAAAAATACCCCTGCGCACATAAAATAGTGTATATGGCCACTATTTAAGTGCAGGACTAAAAAATTTTAAAAATGCTGCATAAGCGATGTGCTAATCAAATATTTAAGATACTTTTAGATGTATTAAATGTACACTTTCTGTTGGCCTTATTGCATATACATATACAACGCCATGAAGCTAAGACAGAACAAAACTACAGATGTGAATTTTAGTAACTTTGGGCAGGATTTAGTGGATTAGTAAACACATATTCACTACTGAGTGTCTTGCCATTAAATTTTCCAAGCATTTATAAAATAAATTAGAACACACGCTGCACACGCTTTCATGTTTATTTAAACGCATGCAACCCAAATTGCGAGGCCTACTGCCTGGAGATATGTATGTATGTATGTTTGTATGAATCTATGTACTTGTAGTCGTAAACTGGGTTATTCTTCATGGAGTCTCACCTTGCTCTCAGTTGAATGCTTTAGCCCCTCAAACATAATATACACGGTAGGGCTTTGCATTTAGAAGTATGTATGTATGTATGTATGTATGTACATTCGTCTTTGCAAGCTTAAATATAGCCACACAAATGCAAGTAAAATATACCACCCGACTGTAGACAAATAAAAAGTCATTGCCTACTTTTTGGCACACAGCCCAAGGGCCCTTCTACGATTACAAACAAAACTGCAGCTAATTTCGTGCACTCAACTTGGTATGTGCGGCAGTGAATGCGAAATGTCTGAGCATAGAGTGCAATAAACTAGAAAATCGTTGTGAAAATGAGATTCAGAGCTGATGAAGGAAGGATGCTGTAAATGGTTGGTTGATGTGCTTTATATGTATGTATATGGGACGTTCCATGACAAACGGACCAAAGCTTTACCTAAAACTCTATGGGATAGAAATTAAAAAAAAGTATATCAAAAGACTCATGAATTTATATTCCGTCTACAATCTATTATGGAAAAGTTTATACCGAACATTCTCAGCTCAGGTTTTTCGATTAGGTTACTTATCAACTGATTGGTTAATCAATAATATTTTTATAACAATAAAAGTAATCTTTAGCCTTTATCAATTTATAATTTATGGTATTCCTGTGCAAATTTAATTCTGGGACTTCTTTAAAGTCACACTGTCTCAAACGCTGCGGAAAGAAAATCTAAAATTACAGTTCGCTGATGAAATTAACACTAAAATATAATTGATCGAATATCGACCACGGGATCACCAGATTCGCTTAAATGTTTCTTTTTTGCTGTAAAATTGAAGATGTATGAAAACTAAAACCAATTTGTCATTTTCGTCAAATATTTACTAAATAATTATGAAACTTTAGCCACCTATTCATTTCTGTGCCCTTTACATCTGTACATGTGAAAATGAAAATCAAAATTACTTCTTCCAAATAACCGATGCCAAATTGGCGTCTTTTTGATATCTTTTTGCGAAAAGTTTGTTGATTTTAGTTAAATAAATAATTTATTTCAAAGCAATTTTTATTTATTTTGAAGATAAAGCTAATCTGTGGAAAGTGAAGTCAAAGGAAGTAAAATGAAGTGACGAAGTGAAGGCTTCCAAAGTGAATTGAAAAACTTCAATTGAAGTTAAAGCGGCAGCACTGATTTAAACTCTTCCATGATAAATAGTGGCCCGAATATGGATCAGTCATTTTGAATTTTTAAAATCTGACCACAAGAACCCCCCATTGCAAAGTTTAATTTTTCCAATCCGATACATAGATTCCTCATCAGCGACCCCTAAACCTCATGCATAACGAATTCTATATGAATTCGGGAAATTTTTAAAAAAATTTCCGCCATATTGAATATTGAAACTCTGATGGCACATTCGTGATCAGCGACTCTAAAAACATTAGAATCCGTTTTGATTTAATAACTGACAACTCTTCTAACAAACGAAATGACATATTAATTTGCGCGTTTACGGACATGACGTTTTCCAAGGGTCGCAGCATTTACGTAATACTGAAATTCCAATTCTGCCACATCTTGTTTGA